GCTCATCCAGCTTCTATCACCATCCACCCATCCATCCATCCAACCATCCATCCATCCATCCATCCATCCATCCATCCATCCATCCATCCATCCATTGTATCAAGCACGTTTGTATGTAGGATGACAGTTTTTAACACCCCTCGACGTGCTCTGGTTGTAGGTAGCGCCTAGTCAAAGACTCAAGAGCAGTTCCCTTCCTGTGACAGAAACACGTGACTGGCTCCGCGTCCTGGGCCGGCCACCAGTTGACACCCCTTTGTAAAGGCCCTGGGGGGAAGTGGGCATGCGTTGGTCTGCTAACCTCAAGACCTGATGCTTGAACTCATGCTCTGCTCTGCGGGAGAAAGGTGAAGCTTTCTACTCGAGTCACCGTCCTGGAAAACCACGGTGACAGCCCCACTCTGCCCAGCCGGGTCACTGGGAGTCGCTGCGGACTCCATGGCGTCCCTACCGTGTCCCTAGTTGTTTTCCATGAGAACGAGATGACAGGCTTCTAGTCCAAGTCTCGACCGTACTGGGCCTGAGGAGAGAAGGCCTAAGTCAGTCGCCCCACCCCCGGTCCTTGTCGGTCAGTGGTTCTCCAGTGTGCATTGCACCGGTCTCTCTGCTTCCTGCACAGAAGAGCACAGGGTTGAAGTCAGCAGGTTGGCTGCCACCCAAAACCTCGAACTCCGAGCCCTGTGCCATCCAGTCGATGCCGACTCAGAGCATCTCCTACAGGACGGTCGAGTGGCCCTTGCGGGTATCTGAGACCGTGACTCTTTATGGGAGTAGAAAGCCCTGTATGTCTCCCAGGGCGCCACTCGGTGACAGGCCTGGAGTGGTTTTGAACTGCTGACCTTGCAGTGAGCAGCAGCCCAACCAATGCATAACCACGACACCACCAGGACTCCTCAGACGTCCTTAAGTGAAGCGTGCCGGCAGCTGAGGAGGGCGAGGAATGTCTGAGGCCACCGTTTGACCGGGCTCCGCTCCCGACCTGCCCTTGCACCCCTGATGTGGGAGAGGAACTTTCTAGACCATCATTTCCCATAGACTCTGCAAGTTAGGAACCCCGGATGTGTTCTCAGTGGTAAAGACCCCCCTGCATCCAGTAGGACGCCTGAGCGGGGTGCCGTCAGGCCCCAGAGCTGGGCCCGGAGCTCACCGCTCTGGTCGTTCAGAGGCCCCGTGTTTCCAGCATGTCCCCTTTCTGTCCTGTAGATGTTTGACTGGATCACGCACAACAAGGGCCTGTTTCTGAACAGCTACACAGAGATCGGGACCAGCCACCCGCACGCCATGGAGCTGCAGACACAGCACAACCACTTTGCGATGAACTGCATGGTGAGGGGGGCCGGTCTGGTGGGGGGCGAGGGGCATTTATTGACACACACGGGGCCGTTGGTGTAAGCAGAGGCTGACCTACAAGGCTGGGGAATGCTTTGGGCCAGCAGTGTCTGAGCACCTGCTTTGACTTTGTAAGCAAACAAACACAGACCCAAACGGAGCAGTGGAACGCACACCCGTCACATAGCTGGTGTGCCCTGGTTTGTGGCCACCTGAGCTCGGAGGCAGCGGCCCCCTGAGGAGACCCCCCTCTCTCCCCCACCCCCATTCAGTTTGCTGCCTGTTGTTGCTCATGGGAATCAGTGGCTGGCGTGCCTGGAGGACTC